TGCCACCGCTGCCAGTCAACGTACAGCGGGGACAGCGACTGCCCAAGCAGAATCAGCATGCTGACAACAGCATGCGCAATCGCCAGCACCCGCACAACGCTGTGCGGGAACCCATCGTCGCCCAGGTCAAAGATGACCCAGATGTTGATGATGGCGGCGAGGATAAACGCCAATGGCAGCAGAAACCGCTGGTGGCCAAGCACATACGACACCCCCATGCGGGCCACGCGCGCCTCAAAGTTCATCACGTTCATGAGAAAGTCGACGCTGCCAAAGAACGACTGCATCTTCTGCTCCGGGTTCTCCAGCACCGTGCCATTGATCATCTGCGTGCGCAGCTGTCGCACCTGCAGCTTGTCCTTCGTGTCGTGCACAACAGCGGGCACCTGGAAGTACACGGGCTGCAGCTCGCCATCACGCAGCAGCTCAATCCGGCCAACGCTGTCGCGTGCGTTGTGGCTGTGCGGGGAGTGCTGCTCCCACGTGTTGAGCAAGTGCGTCACGCGAATGCAGTAGTTCTCAGCCTGCTCGCCAAGAATCCGCAGCACCGTGTAGTACAGCAGCGCAACGTCGTGGTCGAAGAAGTGCGCCGTGTGTGGTGACGCCGCCACGCGCTGCAGGGCCGCCTCTCGCACGTGCATGTTGGTGTCGCTCTCCGCGGCAGCAGAGTGCTCGTCAAGGAGGCGGAAGAACGCGCTCTGGGTGAAGTGCGCGTCGCGGGTAAGGTACGGCTCCGGGAACAACGCAGCGCACAGCATGTCCAGCACCACGTCGCCCTCCCGCCGGCCCTCGAGCACGCCGAGCAGGAGGAAGAGGATGGATGCCTCGCAGCACTCGTCAATCACATCCAGCGCGTTGCACAGGTCAAAGCTCTTCACGAGCGCATGCATGTGCTCTGTGTCCACATCCACATCGTAGCCGTCCTGCTGCACCCAGTCGCCGTGCCCGTTGTCCACCACGCCGTACGACTCGCACCAGATGCTCAGGGATGCAGCCGCCTCAAGCACATACAGCGTGAGCGAGTGGAACACATCCTTGTCTGGAATGTCCTCGCTGTCGTCCGACGCGTTCAGATAGCGCAGGAACAGCAGAATCGGCTCGTGCACCTGAAATTGTTGACAGGGGTGAGAGGTGTGTTGGTGGGGGGGGGGGCGGGGGTGGGTGGGGTGATTGATAAGAGGGGCACTTTTGTGTGCATAACGACCGACGCACAAAAAACAAGCACATGTGGATGGAGCTTGACGGATATGCGATACACACACACATGGACATAAGTACGCACACGCACACACACACACAATCAAAACCGCAAACGCGTACACTCTCATCCCACACCCACACCAACACCAACACGCCGACACGCCCGTGCACCACACCTTGTGCTCGAGAAGCGCGCGTTGGTTGTCGACGTTTGGACCGCCAACGAAGGCGCCGAGAGTGCTGAACAGCTGCTGCAGAAACATCACGTCGTTCACCGTGCGCTGCAGCTCGTTGTAAATCTCCTTGATGGCGTCCAGCCGCTCCACCTCCTCCACGTCAAACCCGTGGTGCGCCTTGTTGCGGAACAGCTGGTCCAGCGACCGCGACAACTCAACCACGCACACAACAATGTCCACGCGCTGCCCGCTCTCCTGCCGCCGCAGCAGCTGCTGCATCTCCGTGAAGCACCCAAAGCACAGCGCCTCCAGGAATCCGAGGATGCGGATGGCGATGGCGACGTCGAGGTTCTCCACGTCCTGGTCGCGACGCAGCCGGTCAAGCGGGTCCTCGTGCTCCCGCTTGAACAGCAGCTCCTGCATGTGCTGCAGGTGGCGCTGGATGGCGGCAAGGGCGCGCCGGCCCATTGGTCCGCTCTCAAAGGCATCGTGGAACGCCCACTGCGACAGCAGCCGCTCCTGCTGCTGCTGGTGCTGCCGGCGGGCGAGCGTGCTGCCGCCCTCAACGCTGCTCTCCATCAGCGCAGCCGCGGCCTTTGCCTCAAACACGTGCGGCGTGGCATCCAGCATGAGCCAGCCAAGCTGCGCCGCCATGAGCACCGTGCACCGGTGGCGAGACGCAAGCAGAGACAGGACCATGTCGGGGAGACCAAGGCTGTTGAGGGAGCGCCCAACGGTGGCAATGGCAGCCTCGTGGGCTGCTTTGGCTTCCTCGTTGTCCTCATCGTCAAGCTCCTGGTACACGCGACCCATCTTGGAATCAACGACACACGTCAGCGCACACGACATGGCTGCGAGGAAGCCCACAATCACGTTGTCCTCCTCCTCTTCCTCAAAGTCCTGGTGCATGCGGTGGTCATGATCGTATTCGTCAGACACCTCAAAATGGCTGATGATGTGAGAGACACACGAGCGGATGTCCACGTCCAGCTGCTGTGCACTCAGGTCAAACGATTCCATCTTGGGGGACTTGGGGTGCACGCGCACTTGCTTGCGAAATTGGAAACGGGCAGAGCGCGCCGTCCATGTGCGCGACACGCGTGTTCGCGAGGGCGAGGGGGGTGCGCCATCACCTTTGCTCGTGTCCTGGGGCGTGATGCCGGCGGCGCCCTGCTTCCTTCGCCACAGTTTTGATCCCTTCCGTGACACAGATGACGCCTGATGACTCACACCGCCGCCGCCACCGCCCTGTGCCGCCTCCTCGGCCTCCTTCTCTTCCTCGTGCAGCCTGTCCTCCAGCAAGTCAGCCTGCAGAATACCCACCAGCGACCAGAACGGCTGAAAGTTGTACTCCGTGGAGAGAAACGACATCCACGGCAGGTGCGGCTGCGAGAAGCCGTGGTTGAATGTCTCTCGCACTTGATCAACGAAGAAAGGCAGCTCCTCTTGGATGCGCTCGCCTTCTGTCTTCACCTTCTCCACAGGCATCACCTTGCGTGGCGCTTTGCCACCGCCGCGGGTGTGCCCGCCACCGCCGCGCTTGCTGTGCGTGGCTGCAAACGAGTCGATTGAGAACGCGTGCCGCTTGCTCGACCCGTGCTTGCTGCCCATGCTGAGCGCGGTGGAGCGTGCTGCTGCCGTTCGCGCCTCCTTCGCCTCCGTCTCGTCGTACCACGTGTGCTCCGTCTGCACATTCACCAGCGTCGCGTCCTGCTGTGCCAGCAGCGTGCTGTTGAGCAGCTCGCCAGTGACATGTCCACCCAGCACGCGGTACTCGTGGTCCATCAGGTAGTGCGGGCTCTCATATGTTGCCTTTCGCCGGTGCTTCAGGAAGCGCACGCACTCCGCAACAAGCGACACAGCCTCTTCCTCAAGCCTCTCCGCCGGCACGCTGCCGTGCTCTTCCACGAAGATGCGCAGCAGGTCAGCAGCGAGCGGCAGCAGCGTCATAAACGCATACCGGTCGAGCGCTGCCCGGACCTTGCTCGGCTTGTGCTTCCACCCCTTGTCGATGGCCCGCAGCTCGTTGGCCAGGGGTCCACAGAGTCTCACGCACGTCTCCTGCTTGGCTGCGGCCGACCCAAATCCAAAGTCCTCCGCATCAACATCGTCGACAACACCATCGCCATCCTCGTCCGTGCCGTGCAGCAGGTACACATCTCGGATCAGCGTCAGCAGGCGAGACTGGCGGTGTGTGTGCATGTGTATTTGTGCGTGCGTGCGTGTATGTGTGTATGTGTGTATGTGTATTTGTGCATGCATGTGCATTTGTGCGTGCGTGTGTGTGGAAGGAAAGAAATGTGAGTCTGAGAGTGAAGGCATACACATGCAAGAATGAAACACGGCGAGCACACAGTGTCAAAGTGAACATGAACGGAGCTGTAACATTTCAGAACAGGGCATTATCACAGCTACACACGATCACAGATGCACACGAAATACACACGACATACACACACACACACATAAGACACAAATCCTCACCACAAACACACACACACACGAAATACACGAAATACACACACATAAGCACCTTTGTGGCGGTTGGGAGTGTGACGCCGTCAATGAAGGGCTGTGCAAGTTCAGCGAGCGGTGCGTGCTTGGCAACATGGGCTGCGGTGCCCTGGTTCCCGTGCGCTGTCACCGCATAGAATGACAGCAGCTGCTCAAAGAAATCGCGGAGATCGTGCTCGCGGGCGGAGAGCGCCTGCGCGCTGGTGTTGGCGTTGGTGCTGCCATCATCGTCGTCTTCGTCGCCACGGCCACCGGTCTTGGTGTAAGTGGACACGATGAACGAGATGAAGTGGGAGGAACCAAGCTCGTGCTCAAAGAGATGGCTCTTCTCCTCTGCCTGCAGGAAATGTTCGCCCACCAGGTCCTGTAGCTCCCGCGAGGGCGTGCCCGTGGGCGCAACAATCACCTCCATCAGCTTGAGGAAGTCGACGTTGCGACAGCGCGGCTCCTTGATCAGGTCTGCAATGAGGCGGTCCACCTTGCCTTCGTCCACCACGTGCTCCCGCACCAGGTCGGGCTCACCCTCCAGAATACGGTGCAGCACCTTCTCTGCGTGGATGCCGTACGAGCACGCGTGCACGAAGAACGAGATGTCGTGCGCGTGCCCAAGCAGCTCCTGGTTGTGCTTGTTGTGCAGGCAGAAGAAGGCGAGGAATTCAAAACACGCGGCAAACAAGTCCCGCGCTCGGTCGTCCTTGAGCGCCGTCTTGAGGTCGGCGCCAGAGAGGTGGTGGTGAAGGATGTGCAGTACGGCCTTGTGTGCGTTGGCGTTGCGCATCATCTCCTGGTGCGCGTGGTGCGGCTCAATACTCACACCGGGCTTGCGCCACGGCAGACGTGGGCCGCTCACGCCCTTCCGCTTCCTCCTCCCCGCCTTACTGCTGCTGCTGTCCCCGGGGGCCAGCAGGTCGGCTGCCAGCGTGCCGTTGACGGTGATGCACTGCGAGCACATCCACTCAATCTCTTCCGTCATGTGCGCGGCCGCAGTGTGCAGGTCGTCGTGGTCCTCGTGCTTGAGCGTCAGCAGCAGCTGCTCCAGCTTCTCCAGGGCAGCCTCGTCCTTGCTGTCTGCAATGACGACGACATCCGACAGGCGGGCCAGCACGGAGCCCTTGACGTTGAAGCAGCGCAGCAGGAGATTGAGCGCCGCGACCCGCAGCCCGTCGCTCGGGTAGGTTGTCAGCGCCAGCAGCAGGTGCACAATCTGCTGCTGTGACAGGCCGTCGGTCTCGAAGAAGTGGCGGTGGTCGCCGTTGTGCTGGATGAGGCTGACCTCGTGCAGGGCGCGGTCGTCCGCGTGCGCCTCAATGTGCTTGTGCTTGTGCGCCAAATACTCCTTCTTGAACGCCGTGAGCAGCTCCGTCACCACCTCGTCCAGGTTCGCGTCCATGCACGCGCCGAGGGCGCGGCACACCAGCGTCTTGGCCTGCATGACCACGTCCAGCGACGATGTTGCGCTCAGGTCATCGTTCTCGCCCGGGTGCGTGCGCACGAGCAGCGTGAGCAGCAGCCGCACCAGCCGCTTCCTGCTGCCGGCGTCCCAGTACAGGCCCTTGTTCACCAGGGCAAGCGCAACGTGCACCACCTGCTCCGTGAGCATGTTGCGGTGCAGCTCGTCCTGCTTGAGGGCGATCATCTCGGGCTTCTTGCCGTTGGCTGCGCTGTGGTACTCGTGGTTGTAGGTGAGCAGGCCGTTCTGCGACAGGTACGCCTCCACCCAGTTCACCACCTCGTCCACGTCAAACAGCTGCACCGCCGCAGTCTTGAGCTTTGCGTGCGACTTGTGGTTGGCCAGGTCCTGCCAGCGCCGGTTGGAGTGGTCCACGTCGGGCAGGTCATCGCCGTCAATGTACAGGTTGACGAGGAGCGTGCAGAAGCGCGCCTTGACGTGCGGCGGCAGCTGCGACTTGAGGGCGCCCATGATCATGGGGAACGGCGTGCGGGCCGCCGCACGCAGCTCGCCCTGGCAGTTGCCCTCCAGGCACAGCTGCGCAAACAGCTCCAGCGTGGCGTCAAAGTACTCGAGGTTGTCGTGGTCCTTCAGGTACTCCTGCAGGGGGAGGGTCACGGTGCTCCATGCGCGGAAGGGCTTGCCAGGGGTGAGCACACGCGCGGTGATGCGCATGCCGCTGGGACCGTTGGCGATGGAGGGCAGAACGTCCGCTGACGGCGCGCCAGGAACAAGCATGAGGTCGCGGATGCTGGCTTGGGTGGAGGTGATGGCCTCACCGTCGACAGAGCACAGGGCTGCGAGGAGGCGCAAGTACTGCTCGAGGGCGGTGGTGGTGTGCGCCTCGTGGATGAGGGAGAGGTATGTCTCAATCGACTGCTTCGTGACGCGGTTGAGCAGGATGGTGTTGTCCTTGAACATCTCGTCAATGGCGTCGGCAATGTCCCAGTTGATGCCGTCCAGGTACCCAATCAGCCGGCACTGGTTGATCATGGCCGTCAGGTGCGCGTTGGCAAACATGAGCCCAATGTGCACGTTCTCCCGGCACAGGTAGCTGATGAGGCGGTACACGTCGCGGGCGAGCTTGTTGTAGTGGCGGTACTCTGTCTGTGTCAGGCGCTCCCGCCACCCCTTGCCCCACTCTGCGCAGTGTGCGCCGTGGAAGGGGAGGCTGACCACCTTCATGAGCGGCACCTGCACCTGCAGGTCAAAGAGGATGTTCTGGTGCAGGGTGTTGGCGCGGCCCACCACGTCCTCATCATCCTCAATCTTGTCCTCCGAGCAGAACTGGATGAGCGCGTGGATGCTGCGGCGCGCGCGCTTGTACAGGTCCGCGTGCACGGGGTTGGTGACGTCTGTCAGCACGTCGTCTGCTGCCAGGCGCGTGAGCACCTTGACGTGGCCGAGCGCGTAGTAGAAGTCGCGAATGTCCTGCTGGTGCACGGACTGCAGCGAGAAGGCGTCCTCGTCGTGCGTGGCAACGAGCACCGTCTGCGCAAACGTG